GGAGCCCGATGCGGGACTCGATCCCGGGACTCCAGGATCATGACCTGAGCCGAAGGCAGTCGCTCAACCAACTGAGCCACCCAGGCGCCCCCTGAGATGAGTTCTTTAGAACGCAGCAGTGGTGGAGAGAAGGGGGAGATGGAGCAGAACCAACCATATTTTGCTAGCTGCTGTTTGGTGTATTTGTGTCATTTGGAGGTTTGTTGTTCACCCAAGGCCCAGTGGTCTGAGGGGCAGGTTTTCATGAGGCACAGGCCCTAGCACCCTCCTTAAGTTGGCAGCTCGTCGTGTTGGCTAAGAGAGCTGGCAGGGAGACCGAGTCTAGCTACCACACAGCAACTTGTATTTGTCCTCAGCTTGGTTTTGCAATCAAATGCCTCCTTGGCCTTTGAGTACTCCAGAGGCTTGCTGACCTCCAAACCAGGCTGTGTGCCGGTCACGTGTTTGCAGCTCACTAGCCTTGGGGCTTGGCTTTGCCCTTTGCCACAAGATAGACTTTGGAATTTGGGTATAGGCTGCTCTTAACATTTGGGAGAGAATTTGAAAGAACTGCTGGATTTGACAAGTCCAACCAGCCCTGGGAAAGGAACAGCATGGTTTAGATTATCTGTGTTGAATCCCATTCCTCTGAATCCAGCAGGAATATCTGGGAGATATTTAATAGAATTTAGTCCTAAATTTTAATCCTGAATTTAGTCCTAAAATAAAATTTCAGAATAGCAGAAAATATGTGGGGAATATTCTTACTTCTTTCTTCCTAAAAGCTTTTGTATCAAATGCATTTTTGTAGGGTCTTTTAAAAAAAAAAACATGAGAGTACCACTCACACTTTTTAAATGACAGTTTTGGCATGGGGTTCATCTTCAGGTACCCACCCACCTTGGTGTACCAGAACGGCAGTATTGGCCCTGTTGAAAATGTGGACGGAAACAGCTACCCACCGCCACCGCTGTCAGACTCCACTTCTCCACCTTCTCCTTCCTTCTCTGAGGATAGCTTGCCTCCCCCACCAGCAGAATTCAGGTAAATGGTACTCTTTCTCCTGTCACTCTGGGTGGTTACATACTCAAGAACAAAATAAGTGTTCTTCAGGACGCCTGGCTGGCTCAATCAGTGGAGCGTGCGACTCTTGATCTCAGGGTTGTGAGTTCGAGCTCCGTGTTGGGTGTAGAGATTACCTAAAAAAATAAAATCTTAAGGAAAAAAAATAGAACAAAGTAAGCGTTCCCAATTCAGGGCAGGACCAGTAAAATAACTTGAGGCAAGTCTGTCTAGAGAATAGAAATAATTAACATTTTATTAAGTGTCTGTAAGGTGCCAGACATTATGCCAAACACTGTATATGTTGCTTCATCCTCACAACAGCCCTCCTGAGGTAGGTACCCATTTTACAGATGAGTAAATGGTGAGGCACAAAGAGGTCAGTGAATTTACCTAAGGCCACACAGCCAGTCAGAGGCAGAGCCCTGACTGGAAAGAGGTCATTCTGTCTGCAGTGCCCATATTCTTAACTAGTAGCTATACTGGAACAGCTAGAGATCACCAACTTATCTCTTGTTGTTTTTACTTAGCTTTAACTCAGCATGAAATGAAGTGGTGTAATCTGCTGTCCTTAAAATATTTAACAGACATCTTGCCCAGTTATCTAGAAACCTAGCAGTCATTCACCTTTCTACCCTGTTCTGGTTCATTTCACTGCTGGAAAGAATGGAACAAAGGAAAAGGGAGGTGAAACTTAGACTCTGTCCGTACTGATATGTGGCAGAGGTGTACAAGGGAAGTTAGAAAGTAATGGCTGAAAGGGGGTCTGTCTGAGGAATGTTCAGATTCAGTGTTTGCTCAGTTACTTTTCCCTTTCTGATGGCTGACAAATGAGAGCTTTGAAAGGTACACTTTTCTCCTTGGATACTGTTTCATCAGAGATTGGATATGTTGAGGACCCCTCAGAGGGATACCTAAAGTGGTGGTGTAACCCCTCCCCCTAACCCAGCCCCGTTCTTCTTGGCTCTTGAAACCACTCATCCCAGATCACTTCCTGCTGGTTGCCCTGTCAGATGCAGCTCAGGCTTGAAGGTCTGTGGAAAATTCCAGGATGGACGCTTTTTTCTAAGGAATAACTATTAGTGGAGGGCAGGTACAAAGGTGGAAAAAGAAATCCTTCAGCCTCACACATGGCCTGAGACCCTGTAGCTGCAGCCAAGCATACCTGACCCGGGAGAGGCACGCCTGAGTCGTCTCTCAGCCTGGGTGAAGTCTGGTGGCACATTCATTTCCCATCTCTGCTGACCCTCAGATCCTCATCCCTTCTCAGGATTTTCCACATGAACACTGGAGGTGCATTTACCTAGATCTGTGCCCTGCTCAGGTTTGGTCAGCTTCGCTTGGGTGTCCTGCCCTCACAAGATCTGGTGAATGATAATAGCCTGAGGAATAGAGCCCAGTGGGTGGGTGATGTTTGGATTTTTATTCCAGTTCTTCTTTTTTTTTTTAAAGATTTTATTTATTCATTTGAGACACAGAGATACAGAGAGAGGGAGAGAGGCAGAGGGAGAAGGAGAAGCAGGCTCCCTGCTGAGCCAGGAGCCCGATGCAGGGCTCGATCCCAGGACCCTGGAATCATGACCTGAGCCGAAGGCGGACGCTTAACCATCTGAGCCACCCAGGCGCCCCTATTCCAGTTCTTCTTGCATGCCTTCTTGGTCCTGGTTCCAGGATTAAACTGACTGTCCCTCCTAGAGGAGGGTTCAGGAGGGTGCCTTCCCTTGGAAAGCTGGAAGGTTTGACGGGGACCTAGGAGATAACCTTGGCCAACCCTTACCTGATAGAGGAATCCCAGTCTACACTTCTTTCAATAGCTTTTCTCAATTTCTGCTTACATTCCTTTGCTGATGAGAAGCTTACTGCATTATGAGCCTGCCCATTGCATTGTTGGTCTGTTCTGACCATTCTCAGGTTTTTTCTGTTTGAGCTAAAATGAAATGATAGTAGTCAACCAAAATGAACCTAAGCTCGTAGATAAGCTTAATTAGAGGTGTATGTTTGCATGCGGAGCGTGATGGTGGGTCTCTTCTTTGTCCTTTTAGCTGCCCAGCAGACAGCAACCAAAGAGGGCCTGGCTTAGCCGGACCCAAAAGATCCAGCGTGGTCAGCCCAAGCCATCCACCACCAGCTCCTCCTCTGGGCTCTCCACCAGGCTCCAAACCCGGGTTTGCCCCACCACCTGCCCCTCCGCCTCCGCCTCCACTGATGGGCGTTCCACCCCCCCCACCGCCTGGAGGATTTGGGTCTCCAGGGACCCCACCACCACCTTCACCCCCATCTTTCCCACCTCACCCCGATTTTGCTGCCCCTCCGCCTCCTCCCCCACCACCCGCAGCTGACTACCCAACTCTGCCACCACCTCCCTTGTCCCAACCAGGAGGAGGCGGCGCGCCTCCCCCTCCCCCTCCTCCCCCTCCTCCGGGGCCCCCTCCTCTCCCTTTCAGTGGTACAGAAAGCCCGTCTGTCGCACCACCACCACTTTCTGATGCCACCAAGCCTAAGTCCTCCTTGCCTCCTGTGAGCGATGCCCGCAGCGACTTACTTTCAGCCATACGTCAAGGTAATTCCCAGTGCTGGGTGCTGGACCATGAGGCCTTGTCTTTCTGCAGCTGGATGACTGGTTGGAGGGTGGGCTAGGGGTTCTGTGCCCTTCCTAGGGGATAGCTTTCATTCGGTGGGGAGAGATTGGGTGGGACCTCAGGCCTCAGATCAGCCTAAAGAAAGGCTTCGCTCTAAAAATAGGGAGTTGTAGATTTCTTTCCACCTTAGTTTAAAGTAAAGGATTCTTGGGGCCTTGGATGGCTGTCAGAAGAGCAGGCGACTCTTGATCTTGGGGTCGTGAGTTCGAGCCCCACCTTGGGTGTGGAGATTACTTTAAATACGTAAGTAAAGTAAAGTAAGGGATTCTTAACTTGGGTCTTTGAACTCCTTGACAAGAAATGTTTTGTCTGTGTTTGCATTCATTTTGTGCCCCAGAGAAAACCAAGCATCACTACCCTAGAAGGTACTTCTCTGGCCACACTCAGTCATGTCCTGTCCTCCACTTTTGTGCCTTTCATATCCTTCCTCCCTTTTCTCTTTCCCCTTTCTCATCCCATCCTCCCCTTTTTCTCCTATTCCCCTTCCCTCTTTGTCCCCTTCCCTCCCTTCTTTCCCACCTTCCTGCCCTCCCTCATCACCTCACCCTTGTGGAGCATTTATTCTCTTTCTGTCAGAGGTCAGGTCTGGTCCCAATGGGTTAGAGTGGTTTCTTCTGTTTGTGAGCCTTCTGGAACTAAAGGATTGTCTGGGGGAGATGAGTTGGGGCAGCTGAGCTCAGCGATAAGCAATGAACTGGCAGACTGAGTGCCCAGTGGGTATGATTCGGTGACCCCTCCCCACCTAGAGCCTCGGTGAGAAGTACCATCCTCACCAGGCTGATATGTGGAAAAGGAAAGAATGACAGGCTTCCTTTCCAACACGCCTACAGCACCGGGGCCAGAATTGGATAAAGCCTCATCCTTCCTTCTTTTCTTGCTTCCCCCTTTCCCTCTTTGCTTTCTCAGAGGATCCTTCTTCCCCCCACCGCCTTTCCCTGACTCCGTCCACCCTGGCCACTCCCCCTTCCTCGGTCCTGTGTGGATCCTGAGACCTTTTGAGATTGACTCGCCTTCTAAACCCTTCTCTCTCTCATATCAGGTTTTCAGCTGCGCAGGGTTGAGGAGCAGCAGGAACAAGAGAAGCGTGACGTTGTGGGCAACGACGTAGCCACCATCTTGTCCCGTCGGATTGCCGTGGAGTATAGCGACTCCGAGGATGATTCCTCTGAGTTTGATGAGGACGACTGGTCGGATTAACTCTTTCCTGCCTGCTGCCCACCTCCTTTTTCTTCCCTCCTGCTGCCTTCGTTGATGCATATCTGAACAGTCTAATGGGGGGAAAAGGGAGGAAAAAAGAATTTCAAGGGGCCAAAGTCTTCCCTGAAGCAACCAAAGATATATCCAAGTGCTTCCTCTAAATCAACGTATATTTTCCCATCTCCCCATGGACAGGCCCCATGGGCTCCTGAGATTCAGTAGCTGAGATGTTCCCTCTTCCCTTCAAGTGACTGTTGCATATTGAAGAGAAGGAAAAACTCCCAAGCAGATCCCTTTGATTGGGTTTAGATTGGAGTTGGTACCTTCCCCTGGGAGCCATCTTCAACTGTGGTCTCCTTCCAAACTCCTTACCCTTCAAATAATGCCAGCCATCTTCTGGTCCTAAAGCCTGCAGGGGCACGGCCAGCCCCTTTCCCATGCACTGAGAGGGCTGAGCAGGCCACATGCCCTAGCAGCCAGACTGCCACACTTTTCTATGTCTGGATGCCCTTTATTCTAGGAGCCATCAGGCCCTAAAGAGTGTCTCCCCCTCTGCCCAGAAATGGTGCCTTTCTGAAGGCTGAAGTTGTTGCCTCCTTCCCAGTCTCCCTCTCTAGGTGTTCAAGTGTCCTTTAAATGCCCCTCCCTCACTACCAGGTGCTCTAGGCACCACAGCCCAGTTCAGACCTCTAATAGCCATGACCAAACTAGCCCTGACACGCAGGGATCTGGACCTCTGCCGACTGTCAGGAGCCAAGCTTAGAGACTTGGAACTGCAGAACTGGAAGAATGGTGGAACTCCTTGGATCTTATGCTCCTAATGATGCTGAAATCTAGAAATGGGAAATGACTTGCTCCGGGTCACACATAGGATGGTGACAACTCTAGAGCCCAGAATTCCTGATTCCAAGTCACCTATGCCTTCTGGGACCAAATAGTGGGCACTTGCTGGAGACGAGGCAGAACAGTCTTGGCTCTGTGCTACTCCAGACCTCACCATAGGTGGGAGTCCCAGTAGGAGGGCTCAGAGCCAGTGCCAGGCCTATCTGTGCTGCTCAGACCCTTACAGCCTGTCTTACAATTCTCTCCTCCCCCTTTACTATCACCATTGAACCACATGGCCTTGGGAGCTGCCCTTCTGGGGGACCAGAGGTAGTGAGAGAAGGAAGGGGGTACGCAGCTTTTACAGGTGCTGTTTTCAATTCCTCTGCAACTTGTCCCCCTTTTATTTCCCCAATTTAAGCATAGATTCTGCCAACTGTAGAAACTTCAGTCCCTCAGGCTGGTGGCTGCCTCAGGTAGCTGCCTAGGGGGGCCTGGCAGCCGTGAGGAGGGCTGAAAGGCAGAGGGGCTCTGGGTCTTGTTTCCAGCTCCTTCCTCACTGCGTGCAGTGATGTTCCCTCCCTCACTCCCCCTGTTCCCAGAGCTAATACACAGGTGCTATTATTCAGAAAAAAACTGGTCAGCTTTGGCCAACAGTGAGGTTTCTTCTCTTCTGCCCTAACTATTGTGTAGCCTCTTATGCTGAAACCGGCTTCTCCTGGCTTCTCCGGCTTTCAGAGCCCTGAAACAAAGAGAAACAGGATCTGTCTCTACCCAGCACAGCAAATGGTTGTAGTAATTGCCAAAGCCCTCATAAACCCCTCCGGCTTGAGGAGAGTGTGTAATCATGGGTAGTACCGCTGTGCCCTGGCTGGATGCTCCCCCTCTGCCTTCTTTCCTTGAACTCTGGCATGGGGACTGAGCCTCTAGGGGCCAGCATGCCCTCCTGCTGGGGCCGCTACAGAATTTACCCTCCTCCCCCTCCCCAATTGGGTGTCTGTGGCACAGGGCTGGCACCATGCTCCAGTGCTGAGCATACCAAGCGGTGTGTGCCCCCACCTTGCTTCCCGCCTTGCACTTTGGAAGCTGAAGGTGCTTTCCTTAGAACCCTAAAATGGCTGTTGAAGGTGTCCCTGGCTGCAGCCCAGCAGTGGCTGGAGAGGCAGGTGGAGGGCAGTGGTTCTCCCAAATAGAAGTCCTGGGGCCTGGCCAGGCCAGGGTTTGGGCCTAATGGTTTTGACTAAATTACCCCCATCCCCCTCCTTTCCGGAAAAGGGGGAGCGAGCACCACTCGCTATCATTCTGCTCTGACCTTGAAGGGGGCGGTGTTGGCCTGGCTTCTGGAATGGACACAGTCCGCCCTGGAAAGGGCTGGGGGCAGAAGGCGGG